GCGGGGATTTGGGGCCTTTTGGGGGACTCGCGAGATGGGATTATGTCCTCTTCCTGTCATCCTTAACAGCATCCTGTCTGCCAAAGCTTTCTTGTCCCACAGCAGACCAGACATGGGCCTCGTACCGAGACAGAGCCGGATGATACACCACTGACAGAGGGGAAGAAGGGTGGTGTGTGTGTGTGTTGGGAGGAGGGGGCAGTTGTGTCACTCCAAAAAGGGTCAGAACACCTTTGTTATAAGAATTACAGGGAAAAGAAATCAACCAGTCATGGTGCTAAAATGGTTCAAGTGAGCTGCGTGAGTCGAGTCGTCGTTGTTGTTTTCATCACAGTCCCAGATTCTTCGGCCGTCATTTCACATAATCAAAAACTTTTGCTGCTGACACTTTTCTTTTTTTCCCCTCCTTTGTTTGGTACTACATTCCTCTTAAGAGTTCCGCAGAGGCGGTGAGGTTAACAAGCCTCCACTAATACTTCGGTATGTTGGGGGTGGTTGTGGTCTTGTTAGGGTGGGGGGATGGGGGGGGTAGTTAGGGTTGGGGTGGTGTGGGGAGACAGGAGGAGTGTTGGTAGGGTTGGCAGTCCCTCTCCCAGGATGCTCTAGTCCAGCGGTTCCTGTTTTATCCTGATGGGCGTGTTGAGGGAGAGACTCCGCCGGTCCTCGCGACACAACACGTACTCGCTGAACTGGGATGAGTCCACGCCGCCTCCGCAAGACGCCGCCACGTTGAAGCCTTTCTGGAAAAGACGCTCCAGGACCTGAGGACAGACGGGGACAGAGAGGAGGGAAGGTAAAAAACGGCCATTAATAATTGAGACAATGTCAATAGCGCTAAATTTAACTGAGAAGTATTACTGATAGAGATACGGGTTTCATACTCTTTTAAAGATAATTATTTTAGGAAAGGCGGTTATTAGAGAAGATTGATACCACTCTTGTGTCTGTTGCTAAACGTGGAGCTAAAGCCAGCTGCCGGCTATCGTAGTTTCACAAAGGTAAATAGCTACTTTAGCTAATTCCCAGTAAAGTGGCAATTTGTCTTTCTTACACTTTACTTTTTGTACGACTGAAACAAACAAGATACAATGTGTTAAATAGTGACCTGCAGAGGTGCTGGTAGGTGGAACTTGCTAGCAACAGAGCCAAGCTAGCTGTTTCCCAGTCGTTGGGCTAATCTAAGTTAGCCGGCTGCGGGCGGTAGCTTCATATTTATTATACAGACATGATAGTGGTATCAATCTTCTCGTCTAACTCTCTGCAAGAAAGTGAATGAGCCTATTTCTCAAAACGTCTAACCGTTCTATTTAAATAAAAGTACATTTTCTGTGTGATAAATAGCTTACTTATGCACTTGAAATCAGACTGTCCACCACAAAGATAACGATGACTTATAGGAAAGTATCGTGGTATCTCATTACCAGCACTTTACAGGTTTCTGGTGCAATAAATTGTCATCAGCAGCAAACATAAGTAAGTCTTGGATAGGTACCACTTTGTAGTAGCCATCCATCATCACATCAACCTCGGCTCTTTATCAGTCACAACATACACCGTGTGTCATTAAAGTACCCCCTCCTCCTCCGATCACACGTCAGTGATGGGATAAAACCAGGGGGCACTTCGACATCAACACCACCTCTGCAATATTCATGCCGCCTGTGCTGGATGGGCTACTGAACCGAGGGGCATGAGCTCAAAGGGATGAGGAGAGCAGGAGTGCGAGCGAGGTGTGTTAAGGGGGCTCAGCGCGGTGATTACTGGAGCTCCTAATTTGAGTAATGAGGCCGGGGTGAGAGGAGAAGCGAGGTCCGTGAGCGAAAAGGAGGAAGAGCGACGTGCGGGGAATGAGGATGGGGAGTTGCGGGCGATCCGTGTGAGGATGTGTTGCAGCTGCGGGGAGAGGAGCCGGAGACAGGTTAGCCGTCGAGTCCAGAATGCAGACACGCTCAGACGCAAACATGTGAACTCCAAGATCCCCCTTTTTTCTCCCCTCATCTGCTGTAATCCTTGTGGGATTTTTTTTATTATTTTTTTTGGAGGGGGTATATCTAAATCCCAGTGCGAGGAGTGCTGTGTATTTACTTATTCCCCCGTCCTTTTTAATGGAGTGTGCAGCGTATGGAAATGAAAGGTCTCGCCGAGGGCTATCCCCTCCTTCCAGATACAAAGCGAGAGTTCACACAAAATAGATCAGTTTCTTCAAATGCCCACACACACACACACTAACACATGAACTCGTGGTGCAGAATGACCTCTCTAATTACAGAACCGAGGACCCCGTCGGAGGGCGAAAAAATTGGGGCCTCCTGGGGTCGAAAGGGCTGCAACTGGGGATTAGAGCGGATAAATCCCATGCACAAACACACAAGCGCAGATGATATGTGAGCTATAGAAGGCAAATTTACAAATGCAAATTACAACTCGCGCATTCACACTCACTCACAGACTTGTTGAGCAGACCTGAACCCACACCCCACTTCCTCGTTAAACTGCGGCGCCGACATGCTGCTTGTAAGCAGAAATGACTACTTGGAAAAGTTACCCCCCCGCCCCCTCCTGTTTTTTGTCTTCTGGCCATTCGACGGCAGCGACAAATTTGGGAGACAGAAGGGGCGGCAGACAGCTGATGGTGAGGACGGCTAATTAAGAGACCTGCCCAAGCATCAAACACTCCCGAATCCATGACAGACGACGGAGGAGCCTAACGATTATGGAAATGATATTACATAGCCGTCTTTGATCGTTGCATCACATTGCATTCCCCCCCCATCATCTCTTAACGCGTGTGGGACCGTCATGTTCGGCGATGGATTTGGTCACAGAGGAGCATGGCCTGATCAATAAAGATAGTCTGAAAACACTTTTATCATTAATGCACGGCGACACAAAAGACTTAAGGATATTATTACAGATAGTCGTAACTGATTCAAGGATACTGTAATGACTATAAGAAGTCATGAAAGAAGAAAAAAAAAATGTTCACATTCAGTTTGACACAGTGAATTAGTGCCACGGGGGGGATAAACAATACACTGAATAATTACGATGTATCCCAGCAAAAAGGTTTCAATGTCCACGGGACAATGTCCTGAAATCAATCCCAGCTGACAACAGAGAGTAAAGCACCCTCTTAAAAAGCTAAAACATGTCCTGGTGGCTCAGTTCAGCAGCACAACACACTTGGGGCCGCAGGCGCTCAGATCCCAGCTCATGTTGAACTCGCACAGATTTTCTCCGCTCATTTCCCGCCTCACTCGATCGGAACCGTGGCGAACTTTCATTCCGAGCATTGGTGATTTCCCGTGAAATGGAATTGCGGCTAATTATTCCTCCCCTTCCCAGAGTTGCGGAGTTGCTCCGACTATGCTTGAGGTATGTCAATATCGTATTGTTACCAACACGGGAAAAGTGAATACGGAAGGGGTACGGCAAAACTTTACCAAAGTTTGCAACGTCTACCCAGAACTTGAGCACTTCTTCTCGGCTTCTTTGTCCTGCGAGTGATCGCAGCAGAGAGCCAAATGAAAGCTCTCTCTTCATCCCCCGGTGATCCTCGTACATTTGAAACACAATCAGCCATTCTCACTGTTACGGGGTTGACTTGGCTGCACAGGGATCTGCCCCCAAAAAACACATTCGCATACAACCGTCTCACTGAGCTGCCACTCAATCTGGGGTCGCAAACGGGGGGATTGTGAGCGGGGCCTGTATCCGCCTGGCTCCTCTAACCTCCCAGCAGCACCGCGTGTCTCCAAACGCAGCCCAAGATGGCGGGGCGGGAATCAAAGTGGATGAGTCTCCGGGCTGGCAACCGGAGCACCATGTAATATTGATGGCCACCGGAGCGCAAGCACGCTCTCGCATCACCTCTCTCAGGAGGTGCCAGGATACGCTCGCTCCTCACGGCGCGGGGCTCAGGTTTGATTGACACGTTTGACACACACACACTTGAGATGGGGGTCGCTTTTGTTTAACTATGCACGGTCTTTAATATGTGACAAGGAGCTGCTAACCGCAGTCTCTGCATCGCGTCCTCCGCTTATTGCAAGCATCTGGCGTAAAGCAGCCGAGAAGCTCCGACTCCTTCTAATTCTCCGAGCCATCTGCCAGCTTTTTGGAGGAATCACAAGCGACCAAAAATAACAGTCTTCATACTGTCATGTATTCTGATTGCATTTGCGGCACATTTATCAAGTGGATGTGTTTGTGGAGCCGACGAGACTGAGCTCACCGTTAGAAAAGGACACTTTGATTTAAAGTGTCTTCACACAGTAATTGAGTGACCCTAGTGTAAGGTAAGTACAGTCGAGACAACAGTGAAGACGCTCGTGAGGATGGAGGATCTCACACCATCGGACTCGTTCAGTAACCTTTTAGTTATTCATCTGCGGTCTGTGGTTTCTGGCTTTGTGGTGCGAAAACTACGGTTGCCAGTGGTGGAAGAAACAAAATACATACACTCAAGTACTGGACACAGTTTTTAAGGTGCCTGCACCTGAAGGGATAGTTAACACCTAAATCAAAAACTCATGTGGTTCTTGATAGAGATATCGGCCGTACAGATGTCTGCCTTCTCTCCCATATAATGGGACTAGACGGCTTGTGTTGTTCAAAGCGCCCAAAAACATTTAATTTGAGCTTCCTTTGAACACATTAAACTAAACAGAAATGTCTCTTTCCAGAAACCATGACCCGGTTACTCGAGATAATCCACAGACCTTATTGCGAGCAGCTTCATGTAGGAACTATTTTCTTTCTACTGAACTACACCCACCAACCAATCACCTTACATGTATATGTATAATAATGATCCAATAATATAACATGAATTAACACTAAGGGACATTCTTAATTATGAGTAATTATGAGGACTTTAAGCAGTTTGTTGATAATACATTTGTGCTTTTACTAAAGTGTCATGTCCCGCTCTCCTCTAAGGTTATTCTTTCCTTGTTGTTTGCCCTCAGTTATTATCTACTGTTTTATTTTGGCATACTCACCTTTGTCTCTCTTTTCACATACTTCACTTCCTTCCCCTGTGTGTTTCCCACCTGTGTGATTGTCTGCCCCGCCCTGATTGTTTTCACCTGTCCCTCGTTTTCTCCCTCGTTTCATTGTGTATTTAGTCTGTGTGCTCTCCTTTGTCTGTGCAGCTTTTTAAGTTGCCGTTTCAGCCTTGTCTACTTGAGTATTTGTGGTGTGCGTTAGACCTTTCTTTTGTGTATTTACAGTCTGCCTTTGCTTAGTGTTTTTAGATAGTGTGGCCAGTTTCTGTACTGGGAATGAGAACTGACATGTGCCCAGCCTGTTCTCATTCCCAGGGCGTCAAAATGCCTTTGTACACTTTGTCTGATATCAACACACAAGGCACCCTTTAACTTCAGTATGAGGCCCACCAGGCTTTAGTAGAAAGACCAAAAAAAGCCCAAAAATGGTGGGTGGGAGAGGAGTGAAATGGGTCAGACAAATACAAGACTTTCAACCAGAAGAACTGTGTTCAGGCCTAAACCTAATATAGTGGTTTTGTTGTCTCGACATGGTAAAGTAGTTTAGTTTCTTAAACATAAAAAGTGTTGTTGTTGACTAAACCTAATAAAGTGGTTTTGTTGCCTTAACCTAAGTTTACGTAGTTATTCTAAGCCCAACTGTGATTTTACTTTGTTGCCTAAACCTAAGCAAGTGTTTCTTTGAATTCCCAGCATTAACCAAATGTCCACTGCGACCGTGCGTTAGGCCAAAGAGTCTGACAAAATGTCGGTATGTGACGAGTGGGAATGACAACGTGCTGGTGTACTGTACCTGTTTTTTGGGATCTCACTCCTCTCTCTGTGTTGTGTGTTTGAATCCGGTTCCTTGTGCTTTCACATGTTCCAATAAATATGATTTTGAATACAATACTTACTATTACTACCTCTTCCACCACTGATGCTTGTATTTGATGTGACATAACTATAAATATAAAACTTTTGTCCTCCAGGTGTATCTCTCCAGTTGGCTGCAGCCAGAGTCACTCTTACAAAGATCTACTTTCCACTACCTAACCAAGCTGCATCCAGCAGAAACAATATTTGTGGCGCCAACTGCTGAAACTGTCAGCGGGCCTGTCGTCCCATCTTTAGCCCACCGTACTGCAGGTTAATCGGCTGCCTGTTGGGGCCTCACAGCCCACACAGGCTGTACAGAGAAAACCCCAAACCGCAAGCGGTGTTAATGTCTTGCTCTGCCGCTCGGGCCTCTGAGGAGCACAGCGGAGGTGTTTGTGTGGCCTTGTCTGCTCTGATGAGCGGTGCTCTCTCTTTCCACCCGGGCGCAGGATTGATGGAGTGGCAGTGTGACATGTAAGAGAGTGTTGCGACGCGTTGCGTTTGCCGCCTGGGCAGCAAACGGGTGGGGGGAATTCTCTACGGCCGCCACCGTTGTCACATTGATGAAGGACGGATCGGCTCCGCTCTGATCTGAGTGCTTCATCACGGTGATGTATTGAGCAGCGGAGCTCCAGCTCTGTGTGTGTGTGTGTGTGTGTGTGTACACCTCTTTGGCTAAATGTTTTCCCTCCGTTAAGTGCCTTTTGCTGCTCTCCGTTTCTCCCCACTGGATCTACATCACAGTGCAGGTGGTTCGCATTAATTCCCTAAATTCCAGTCATGACTTCATGAAGAAGCACTCGCCAAGGTGGAGTTGTTTATCCTCGCTCTCTCACATTTGAATACACACGATGAAGCACTGAAGGGGAGGGGCGGGGCTGACTTTACAGCGTACACTGTAATATCGTACAAACTTTTCTTTCTGATGCAAACAGTTAGTATTGATAAAGTACTAAACTAACTATAAATAGATGATGATACAATAATGTATCAGCCTAAGGAGCCCTTGAATATCACTGAGTAATTGAATGAGATATTTTACTGCGAAGTATAACCACGTTTTCTGACCTTCGGGGTGTTTAAGTGAATAAAAAGTGGAAAAATAAACTGGGTTGCTGCATTGAGAGACGTCATGTTGTCTCATTGTGACCAAAGTATCACAAGGTCTGGCGGTTTTTCCAGCCCTGGGCCGGACAGTAACAGTACCTTTAGTTCAATGAAACCGTTTGAGCCGACAGTGATTTCTCTAATGAAAACTCAAAACAGAGCACGTTTTTAAAAGTTGTCGCATGTCCATCTCCTTCTCGTTGTCAAAAATTCTCCGCTCCAGACAGCTCTGCCCCCCCCGGCCACCTCTTTAATTCTTCCTCTATGGGCAGGGTGCGGTTGCGCTCCCCTGGATCGGGGTCCAGGGCTGAAATAGGATCAGAGGCTCATTGTCTGGCGGGTGAGACGAGGATCACTTTCCCAACCTTCTCATACCTTCACGCAACAATGAGGGAGGACAGAATGAGGGAGCTGTTTAGAAGCATCTCCCCTTACAACGAAAGAACACCTCCATCTGCTCCCCGTGTCCTCATCTACATCGACTCAATGAGCCGGGCCCCTCCACTCTGCTTGCATATGTGTGTGTGGTGTTGTTTTTTTAACAGATTTGTGTGTATCTGTGTGTCTTAAAGGAGCCGACAAGAGTAAAAATACACCTTAACCGAGTGAGGCCATACAGTGAGACAAAGGGGAAACCTTGGAGATCCGGCTGCTCTCTCTTCGTTAGTGGTTTGTCTGAAAAGAGGATTTTCGGCTCACCTCGCCGTCAGAGGAGCGGCCCGATTAAAGAAAAAACCAAGCCATAAAAAAAAACCTTTCAGACCACGTTAGTGCGACGCGCTCACATCCCGTAACCAGTCTCACTGGTAAACAGAGTGGGAAAATGTTGTGTTAGTTGATGCGGCCAATTAATTATATTGCAAGTCATTTAAAAATCTATAAAAGAAGTATAAACCGGTTTAGGCTGTTTGAGAAATTGTAAGTATGGTATTAAAAAATGCAATACGTGTGTTTCAATCGCCTCGAGCGGTGTTATATTGGAGTCTTTTTTTGAAATAAAAAAAAAATAGGAGCTGTGTCTTAAAAAGGAGTAAAGCGTAAATTATGCATATTATTCCCCCCCCCCCCCCCCCCCCCACACACACACTTTCCATTCCTCTTCTTCATTTTTTTTCTGCAGGAAAAGCATGGCCGCGGTCCACGCGTGCTTTGTCCCGCTCGCTCAGGCTCTCCTTCCCTGGAGGTGGTCTCTCACATGCCGGCAGGAGGGAGGTAGAGGTGTCAGAGCGCGCTAGCCTGCCTGGGAGACGCTCCCTCTGGGTGCCGAAGGGAGCGGCGTGGAGGTGGGGGAGGCTCATCTTATGTGTCGGCCCGTTCGTGGCTGTGGGCACCGGAGTGTGTTACATCGAGCCCCGTGGTGTGAGGCTGTTATGTTTCCCCCCTCGCGGACCTTCTCTGGGTAACACAACTGCAAAAACTAGTTTTTCTGAAGTTGCTTTTGGACGTTTCGCTGCTTTACTGCGCTCCGTGGTCAACCCAAGGGGATCTAAGTCAGGCTACCTGCTTGAGAATAACATACAGTAGGCCTGCAGTAAAGCAATGAGCGGTCACACTACGGTACTACTAAAGGACAAGCTCAGATCTCACATCATGCAAAAGCCACTTGAGGCATTATCTAAAGGTAACTTTTGGTGAATTTAGTAGAAACCTACAGATACAAATAGACAAAGTAGCAAAATAAACATGTCTTCTTTCCACTAGTCTGAAAAAAGTTATGGAGGCAAATCAGCCCAAAATCTCAAAATTGACCAGTGCATGAAAAACAAAGTTTTGCCTGTAGCGTCTCGCAATAACATATTAGCTGTTTTTTTTCTTTTTTAGGGGATATTATAATTCACCATTTTAATTCATACATCAGGAACACCCCACCAACATAAATACTTGCATGCCCAAGAGGACATTACAATACAGCCGGGTTGTTCTCTATCACTAATATGAAAAGATTAGTACTGTTGTCAAATGTTACAACTAGATTAGTTTTGCATAAGTTGTCTAGTACTGCATGAGTTAAATGTGCCACATGCAGAGAGTGAGAGAATGACGGCAAACAGAGTGTGTGTTACCTGGACAGAGTTGAGCCTGCAGTAGCCATTGAGGGGGAAGCGGATGACGTGCGTCGGGTCCTGGTTCCATCCGGCGTTGACCGAGTTACACATGACGTCTCCTGTCTCCGGGAAGATCTCCTCGATGAGGACCTTCTCGCCGCTCAGGGCGATCCTCTCTCCCAGGTCGGGTGTGACGCGGACCACCAGGCAGTCGCAGGGTTGCGCCATTCGCCGCTGCTCGCGCTCCTGCTTCCAGCGCTCCAGCTCCTTGATCATGGGCATCAGCTGGTAGTAGCGCGCCTCCTCGTACAGCAGGTGGAAATCCTGTACAGGCAGATGAGTGCAGTGAGTCTGGGCGGTCCCCGTGGCTTTACGTGTGACTAGCGCACTGCTCACTTCGCCACGTCACAGCTCATCACCAAGGTCGTCAGGACAAAACTCTACACATATACAGTAATGTGCAACATCAATATGACAGTGGAAGGAATATTTACAGGGCATCCCGATGGCTTCCCCACAGCAACTAATGACAGAGTGTCCTTGAGCGAGACACTTAAGCAATAATTATTCCAGAGAGTTTCTGTTCTGGCTGCATCTGCACTTTGACCCTTATAGAGCAGTGATACGCCAACCGTGTGGTACAGACATTCATGCATAACATGATGAATATGTTCAAGATGTCCAACAATGTCTAGAATTCTTTAGGAAACAGTTATATGTGAGTCTGATACCACCAGTGTCCTTTGTCCTCACTGATTGTTACAAAGAGCCATTACTAAGGAGGCACCATGTTGTTGACCCATATCCTTGTAGTCAGCGGTGTAAGTGCCCTCATGGTGCAACGTATCTACGAGCAATGGTTCGCATGATATCTTACGAAAAGTTATTAATTTTATGCGCGTTTTCTTTTTGTGGTTTGGGTTAAAATAACTACGGAAGTGGAGTTACAGAAGTACGGATGTTACATGACTACGGTTTGGAAGCCTTGTTTGCCATTTTGGCCATCGGCATCGTGGTTGTTGGTTGTTTTGGTTGTAAGTATTGACACTAGAGGGTGGAGCTAAGTACATCCGAAGGCTTTTTAGACAAACGAAAAGGTTAGAAATGAACTGAAAACACACTGTGAAAGGGTTAAAGTTGTAGACGAAAACACGGACAACGCTGTGGTAGTTACCTGTCATTTACAAGGTCGCCCCACCCTAAAGCATACCCTGCTTTATGGTCTATTTTACTCTAAGTGGACCATAATTTACTAAATGAACATCATGCTGTATTGAAGAAGACTTTAAACAAGAGATTGAGACTATAAACTCATGTTTACAATGTTTACTGAAGTAATAAATCAAGTAAGAAGTAGAGTCATTTTCTCATATACTTCTATACAATCTGACTTTGTTTTGCAGCCAGACGAGTCGCCCCCTGCTGGCCATTAGAAAGAATGCAAGTTTAAGGCTCCATATTGGCTTCACTTTTCAGACCCGGAGGTTTCTGCCTGACAAATAACTCAACGTTGTGACTTCTGGTTACACATGGGACCCTAACAGCGGTCTCCTGGACAAAAGTCCGATGTTTTACACATGCATCCACCCTGACCTCCACCTGTGTTTGTCGCTCTTTATGAAGAGCAGAGTAGTGTTCAGCGTCTCACTTTCCCCACGTAAGACATCTTCAGGAAAGGAGAACAATAAACAAAGATCGGGAGAGATGGCTTTCCGACCAGCAGGACAACATTCTCAATAAACAAAGCACAGCCATGCTGCAGCTCTCCTCCACAGTAGCTCTTGGCAGAGCCGCGCTAGCCTTTAGCATGTTTCAGCGAGCTGACTCCAGAAAGGCCGTCGGTGGGGCTCCAGTGAAGTGGGATGGTGCATTCCTGTGTGCAGACAGTCTGCAGCAGATTGCCTGTCTCTGCCTCCTGGGCAGGGCTCGCCGGGGGCCATTCGCCCCGGCGCTCTCGCCTCTAATTTCCCACAAGACCAGATGGCACTATCATTCGCCGCCGTAGAAAAAAAACACAGGGAGGCAGAGGGTTTTTCGCTAATGGAGGCCGACGAGGAGGTGAGGAAGAAGATATGTGAACACGAGGACAATCATCAAGACCAAGGAGCATGCTAATGTGTTCCTGATATGGAGGGAGTTTTATGTTAATGAGGCTCGTGGCCTCGGTGTTAAGCTCCTATTAGAACAAGATTTAATTAGGCCGCACATAAACGCTGCAAATATCTCTGCTAAACAAGTAGTAATGAATAAATCTGTGTTCTGATTAGTGTTTCTAAGTGACAAAGAATGACAGCTTTATTCACTCTTAGTTTATGAACTTTTATTCTTACATGACGTTTCCCTCCCGGCTGCAGCTCGCTTCAGTGCACGGACGCCGTCGAACCACCGATAGATGCAGACAGAGGTCGCTCGCGACGGCGTCGAGTCTAAACGTCGTTGAAAAAGTGTAGCACCGTGTGTTTTGTACTGCGGAACCGACATATGTTTCGTATGGTCTGCATCATTGCTAGCTGTGGGTGTTGAGCCCTGATCTAAAAAGAGAATTTTTTCTCTTTCTCCCCCCTTCTCACCACTGCCGGAGCGTGGCAGCAAACAGCATATTCATTAACCCCGCTGCTTCTGTCAGACTCTTTAGCCTTGAAAATTCTCCCTCGCCGGTTTCACCCCATCATCTAAACTGCGCCTTCATCTGAGACGCCCATGCACATGTAACTCCATCTGGACGTGCGTTGACGCAACACATCTTAAGCTGACAGTCTAATATTTAAGATTTCAGAACGCGAAAGAAGTGTGTGTGTGTGTGGGGGGGTCCTTTTTCCCCCCTTCTTTTTCGCTCCCTTTCTCCCTGTCTTTTTTTCTTCTCTCGGCCCTCTTGCTGCAGCTGACAAAACTCATACTGAGACGCTCCCCCCTTCGGGCAGCTCTCTGTATCAAAGTGTGGCTCCTCATCCTTCACAGGTCTGAAGCCGTGGATGGATATGTTTTTAACAGGGGTCTGTCTGCGAGGCACTTTTAGTCATCCCGAGCGGGCGCAGAGAACAACAGAGCGACCCCAAGCGCCGAGGTGAGGATGAGAGGGAGGCTCCCGTCCAGACTGCTGGAGCCGCTGCTGTACACGCTGCCAGCTCTGCGTGTCGATTCATCCCTCCGATCCCCGTGTCCAGACAACCCGTTTGAGCTTCAAAATAATGATCCGACCTGATCGCCCGCCGGCAAGGCAATGTCTCGGGGAAGGACAGAGGGAGGGAGAGAGAGAGAGACAGAGAGGGCGGACGGAGACAGAGAGGAAGATGGAGGAAAGGACGAAAAACTGTCACGATGAGGGAGTCGGAGGACTGAAGCCCACACAAGTAGAGGCTGCTGATTAAACACGCCACCGACGAAAAATATATCCGATTCCCATCTAATACACAGCACCCACGAAACAAATGACAACACAAGCTCGTTCCTATTATTTTCCCGCACTAAATACCTCAAGAAACAAAGCATTATTCATTTAAAGCACGACACAAAAGGCCCGAGTAAAACCGACTCTTAGCGGTTCATAAGCTTGCCCTCAATGACAGCATTGCTTACACTCTTGTGATTAATTGCGGTTTGAATAACGAGATGAGGGGCGGATTTTAATGGCGAATATTTTTGCTCCACTGATGTGGGCTGGAAAAATGTCTTTCCCCTATTCTGCTCAGACTTTCACATTGATTTAGCAAAACACACAGCGCCGTGGCTGCCAGCAGCAGAACAGACCCGGCCCTCGGGGCGACGGCAAGCCTGATTGTGTTCAGATAAGGACATGCTCAATTCCGCCTTGCGCTATTTGCATTTTTTTTTTCCTTCTTCCCCGGCTCCACGCAAATTGAAAAGGTATGCAGATCAACAAGGGCTTATGCGACAGAGGATCATAATGAGTTGAAACAATGAAATCCAATGCGTTCTCTTCAACCTGATTGGACTGTCAAGACTTCACAGGAATAGGAGGGAGGGGGTGGAGGGAAAGCAGGGAATAAGAAGGGGAAAAACTAATCGGCACTGAGTCAGGCCATCTATTTTGCTGAAAAATACGCGTTGCTTTCATGCTGTGTTCTGTTGTATGGGGTTTGGCTCTGGTTCAGACTACGCGTGAGGCCCGCAGAGTTTTTGCCCCTGGCTCCGGATGGCTCGGCCTCGCCTTGTTCCCTCGTACAGGTTATATGTTTATGTGGATACTTGGGTGAAACTTAGCGATCATTTGGGGTCTTTCAGCTCATTGTTTTGTTTTTTACTGAAAGAAGAGCAGAGAACGACACTGAAGGCTATTCTCTATGGGAAAGACGTTTTTGGTATTTTTAAAAAAGTGCCTGGCCTTCTCCAAACAGTTTCCAATGACGGCTTCTCAGATCGTTCCGTGTAGCATCTGGCAAGTCAGGTTGGGGAATTCTACAGTTCACCCTACAGCGCATTAGTTGATACTAGGCCTGACAGAATTTGGTGTGTTGCCATGTGCTTCAGATCATTTAACATTGTGCGATAACGGACATAATATACTGTTTCAGTAGAGTTCTTTCATGCGGATGCTCAAACAGGAGCAAGTTGTGTGCGGTCTTAGATGTGGACATGGACGCGGAGAAAATTAGTTTGTATCAAACTGCAACCATCAATCAAAACAGCCGCAGCTCTCCAGGTGGGTCCCTGTCACTGTCAGCCAGACTTCCTTTCTGAGTGGGAGTCGGCCATCAGAGGTAACAGGGGTAACAGAGGGGCGCACAGGCTATTTCACCTGGGCTCACCTCTGTGGAAACCACTCTGAGTGGAGAACAACAGCTCAGGGCTTTGGTACACATATCACATCACCGGGCCATGCTACGGTTAGCCAGCTAGCATTTTACCTCTCTGCTCCATATTTCCTTTTTTTCCTAATTATTGCTTGTGCTCAAACCCAAGGTAATTAGTACGTTGAACGGGAGGCAGGTGAGTCTGCGTTAGGCTCTGTTGTGGTATCAGGTCTATTGTGAAAACGGGCGGTAAACATAATAAATACACATATTCACACTTTGGTGTATTATCTTGGCAAAAATCTGGAATCTGGAAAGGTTTTTCGAACTGACGGTGCCGGCAAGTCCGAACAAACCAACGCGGTGCGGATGTGTACCTTGAAGTCATCTGGAAGCAGCAGTTTGCTGGTCCTGAGGAAGCTGAGAATGTAGCGGAATATCTCGCCGTCCCGATCTATGAAGTAGTGCTGCTTCAAGCTGTCCAACACGATGGGCTCGGTGCCGTTGAACAGACGACTGATTCTGGAAATTGAAATACACACACAGACAGAAAAACAGAGTGAGCCAGCTCCCTTCAAATGCATGAAACAATTACCCTCCATTTATTTTTCAATTTTATTAGCACTAAGCTTGAAATGCATTAGCATCCCAGGTTGAAACAAGGGGCTTAAGGCACCGTTTCCTCCATTCCAGACTTGTTTGAAGTGTCCCTTCTGCGGAGAGATTACAACAACACACACGCTCGCTGCTTGTACTTACAGAAATTAATAGGATGAATGTGGCATTACAGCTCTATTATTCCATCTGTCAGAGAGGGGGGGGGGGGACAGAGGTAAAAAAAAAAAAAAAAACGGTGGAGGACCACATACTTCTGTGAGGAAGATGTCTGGAAAAAAGGTATTTTACCCGACTTTGTCCTGAATGTGAGAAGACTTGCTGCACCCCTACCGCACTGTAGGCACTTTTAAATTAAACTACATTTCCATCATAATCTGTTGCCATCCATGATTCTAAACCCGGATACATATTTCAGTGAAACTGGGCCTCCTCGCTGAAAATGAAATCAACATATTGGCCTTTGAAAATGTGCATTTGTTGCCAGGGAAACGTGACTCACGCATCATTTGTCATCATGGACAACATGTTGCATCTTTCGTTCTCCGATCAAAGATTCACATTTTAAGACTGAGAGGAAAAAAAAAGCAGAAAGGATGAAAATAATATCACCTGAAATGACATTCGTCATCGTTTCCTATTACAGTAATAACTCGGTAAAAGCTAATCAAACAGTATGTTTGCATTTAACCTTTTAAAAACATTGTGACAGACACTTGTTGCTGTGCGTCCCACATTGAACCCCTTCCACTCGGCTGCTGCTGCATTAATGGTTTGGTTGAACTACGTTGGAGCTCATCAAATCAAAGAGTGAGAACTGCTGTTATCTTTAAACTTTCATCATGCCTGGAGATACCCTTGGACAGATATTAATTTCTTGGCGCTTACCTGGAGGTCTCTCTCTCTATCTCTCTCTCTCTGACTGATCTAATAATCTCTATCTATTTCTTCATTTGCATATGCTAAACACCCCAACTCAATCATTAAAAGCTTTCTTTTCTTCCTTTTAGCATCTCTAGAATATTGAGGATGTAGTTTGTTCAAGTGCTTTCAAATGTTCGCAAAACTTTTGTTCTCCCGAAGCTTGAATCTTTGGATCTCCAAATTAAGCTTTGAATTTGGGGAGTCGTTCCGAAACAGAACTGGCGTCTCCCTCGGCAGAGAAACCTGGAAGGCCTTTGTTGGTGGGAATAAGTTGCGTCGCGTTGCTGCACAACTTATTGGTTCGAAAGGGAAAAGTTGTACGACAGTGAAAATCTGGAAAAAAAATCAAAAGCCTACCAATAAGCATCGGTATGCCCAGTTGCCTCCATGAGCACTGGCTTTGTCAAACTCTATTATAGAGCAGTGAGCAAACAGCAGGGCTGGCTTTTTTCTCCGAATTTACAATGAAAAGCCTCAACTTCGTCAAAAGCGCGTGAGCTCGTGTTTTAACGGTTATATCTGGTGACCCCCCCCCCCCCACGATGTGTCGGCCGGACACGCTGAAGCCACCGCGTCCCTTTCTCTTTGACTTGACTTGTGTGAAGAAGCAGAGCAAAGATGGTTCTCTTTCACCCCCCCTCACGCCCTCTCTCACGCCATCCTTTTTCTCCCTTTCTTTCCCTCCTTCCGTCTCCATCCCTCTCCCTTACTCGCTTTTCTCTCTGGAAATCGATGCAAAATGCTTTATAAAAAACCAATACTCATCTCCCTGTTTTGCCCGCGGTGTTCCTTTCTCATATGGTCTTGCAATTCTTCCAGCTAGAATTTCACCATACCCCTCCAGGCTAACTCTGTTTTTCATCTCCACTTTTTTAAAAAGCAATTAAAATGCTGCCTGTTTTTCTTTTTCTTTCCCTCTCTTCCACTCCCTTCACTCTCTCTCTCTCTTTCTCTGTTGGTCTTCTCAGTTTTTTTCCCCCTTTCAGTTAAATCCCTGAATTGGAGTGGGGGGGTGTAACAGGTAGGGAGAGAGAAAAGTGTGCGTGCGTGTGTGTGTGTGTGTGTGTGTGTGAGGAGGGGGGGGGGGGGGGGGGGGGTACATGGAGAAATTAAGAGAGAAGACTCACAAACGGACAAGCTGAATTACGGGGTAGAAAGATGTGGAAAGCTAGACAAAGAACCCAAAGGAGAAAAACACGGAGAACACGAGTAAGGAGGGACGAAAAAAAGGAAGGAAAAGGGGCAGAGACAGAACACGAGAGCAGAGCGAGATGGAGAGAGTGGGAGAGGAAAAGAAAAAATGACCGAACTCCATAGAAATACAGAGTGAAGGGAGAGTCAGGGAGAGGGAGGGAGAGTGGTGGGTGTGGGAGGTTATCAAGGACAGGAACAGCTCAGATCTCCCAACCCAGCGGTGCCAAGTGAGGCCAGGCAGCGAGGGCAGCATAGGTGGGCAATATCTGGCAGCATCCTCACCACAGCGGCTTACAGCCGGCCGGCGGCTCAGAGCTGCCAGAGATGTGTCTGCAGGTGGTGGGAGGGGGTGTGGGGGGGTGCACAGAGCAGGTATCGCTCTCTCCGTAAGAACTGATGCTATCTGGAAAACACACTAATGGATGGCTGATAAATGCGAGCCGCCCCAGCAGCTTCCTGCAGAGCGAGACAAACACAGGCGAGGGACGTCGGCGTCCGGTCCGACATCAGGGACCGATCCTCCAGAAAGCTCTGGGGGTGTGGCAAAAGTTTCAAAACGACGAACACATTTTTTTATTTTTTTTTATTTTGCTGACATAAATCAGGTTCCTGTGAAACTCTTAATACCTTTCCACATTTCTGCAAAACGAAAAAAACAGCAGCACATGGTCCTCATCATGTAGGCCCAATATTTGCCTTCATGGGTCCTCGATGTGCATATTGACTGTCACTGACTCTCACACTCACTGCAACTTGGGAAAACATTTCATCTGCTGTTTTGGAGCTTCATAACTTTGACTCCTCCTGCGCTACAGCAACAATTAACTCTCATTATTATTTCATGTTCAGTGATTAAAACTAAAAGTCTTATCAAACAGCTCATTTTTTTACTTCAGATCACGCCGCGACGTGTTAGTGCCATGTAGTCTCTTTAAAAAAGCAACAAAAAAAAAAAGAACACTCGAGGCCTAACAATGAAATGGAATAAAAATGAAAGGAAATATAGCAAGTGCCAACTGTAAATTACCAGACATTGTTTGCCATGTTAATTTATGGGGATTTCTGCGACACCGAAAGAGCACGAAGCCAGTTCGGATCTGCCGTCCTCAAAGAGGGAAAAAAATAAATAGAAAAAGTCCTTTCAAAATAGTTTCCTCGTCTCTGGAACATTCCCCCTTAATTTCCTCAGCTTCTGTTCAAGTGACTGCTGAGGCCGTCCTCCCTGAGAGCTACACAGAGCGTGCATCAATGTTTCATGACCCCTTGTCCCTTAATATGGCCCGCGCAGAGGAAGATGAATGGCCGCACATTACTTACTAGACTAACTTTCTCTTGGCATGCTGCATTATTCAGGGGCCAATCTATTAAAAGTCATCATCAACTCTAAACTCTTGAACCCGGTCTCTGCTGGCCGTCACGTTTCTTGTGTTTTTTTGCCGTGGCATGCGCCGCTCGAGCGGGACGTGGCCGAAACGCTGTGTTTTATCTCTACTCCGGTATAATTGTTTTTGCTTTCTGCTGTCAGCCATTATCCTAATTCATACAAAAAGCCCCCCCCCCCCCTTCCACTGGATCCTGTGGAAAGTGGAGCCCCGAGGCCAACTGTACACTGAGGAGGCTGGGAGAAAGAGAGAGAGAAGAGAGGGCGAGCGAGAGAGGCAGAGAGTGCTTGCATGTGTGTGTGTGTGTGTGTGAGATCCAGAGTGAGACAGACACAGAAGGAAGGAGAGGGAGCAAAGGAGCATGTGTGAAAGAGAGAGAGAAGAGAGGAAAAGAGCACTAGAACCAACACTCACACTGGTTTCCGGTCTTTACTCTCACTGTAAAAACACTGTTTGGGTGCTCTGACACGACTCTGTGCCCCATTTGCATGGTGCCCTGCGTGTCCACCCCGACACCGCCTCTACGAATAACGTCTTTGTAACGTGCACCGGAGCATGAAAAATAAATATATAAGAGGAATCAAAAATAACAATGCACAAAGTACAAATTTTTTAAGAAAATAGCGCTGATTTTAAACAACGCGCTTTAAAGCAGGGCTATGCAATTTTCAGCACGCCTGGCTCAACCAATGGCACACTGGCAATAAGCGCGTAAGAGAGTTTTTTTCTCATCCAAATGACCGAATGACATCTTTCATGGCCATTTGCAGTTGCGGCCTGTTATTTACGGTCGTTCAATTTGTTTGTTTGTTTTTCCCCCACCCGCCTTTTTTTCGCAAAGACCCGCCCTACTCTGCCACTGATTGGCTAGCACTCCCTGCCTTCTTTTCAAGTTTACTGCTGATGAACACAATTGTTGGAGGGTTGGTGGAGTTAATAATTTCAACTCAGTTGTGGATGGAAGCCTTCTTGTATGGTGCTATCACATATTATTACAATGTCCTAATTATGAGAGAACAATGTTTTTTTATATTTTTCTACGTGCGTTATAGATGGAATAGAATTACGGAATTAAATTTTGATGTGCTGTCATAATTAAACTTGGCTCACTGATTATTGCGACAATGTAAAAAAATATACACTTTGTATCGAAACGGCTTTAAAGCCAATTAAAAACCTCCGTTCACAGTTTTTGCTCCAACAGCTTCAGAACCATTAAGCTCCGAATGACATTAGCACATCGGATTCAAAAAGAACTTCCTGTCTCTGTTGCTCCTGGACAGACCTGACGTTACAACGAAAACAGCGCCTTCGTAAGGCAAACAATAAAAGGCCCTCGTCTGGGATGAGCTGCATTCTTCATGTTACAAGTCAGGAATAAAAGGATTTCCTGTCAGCGGCCTCTGTGATGATCAAGACTCTATATCACCAGGGGGATTACGGGGATTGTTTCCTGTGGCCAATTTCGGCAGCTTTGCCAACAACCGGCGAGTGTTTACCTTGGCCCACATGGGACCCTGTCAGCTGACGCAGGATTGAAGGCTGCGCAACGTGGCAAACAATGACATTGCATTGGAGGGAATAAGTAGGAAAAAATCAGTGGAGAACAGAGATACTTTATCAGCTACTTGTTTGCGGATGGAGCTAAATGCGTGAAACAAAGTGGGAGGGCGGATTACCAACCGCTCTTACACAATCTGAATCATCATGACTAAGTCCTACAATGGGCATCAAAATAAATAAAAGCCCATGTTTGCTGTGAGAAAGACCCAAAGAGAGCAGCAGTCCCTTTCTGTTACCGTCCACACAAACGCTCAGCTTTTAGGTGTCGACGTCTCAAAGTCTGACTGCAATACAAGCCATGTTCTTAGAAAAAATACAATGATTATGTTGTATCATGAAATGGAATGAAACTGATACACCCTGTATTGGATGCATCTTATGAGAATAAGCCCCTGTGTTTGAACACTAATGACTGTGAAGAACATCTGATGGTGGTAACCGCCGGTTCTACAATAGGCAAGGAAAAAACTTAACATGTAACACAATAATGAGCTTGATTTGTATCCGATTTGTCTTTCCTTTCCTAACAGCACCCTGATCTACACTGAGCAACAACAAAAAGCAGTGCTGTGTGCACAGCAGGAATGTTTAAATTTGCAATAATCAGAATTTAACCACGTGAAAGCATCTGCACCTGACAGCTTGACAGCAGCTGGATTTCAAAAATACAACTGCTGTGTGAAAGTAGATTAAAAAAAAAAGCCTTGGAGGTATTTATCAAACAATTAAAATAATCACGAGTGAAACCAACAAAAGCAATCAAATTCATCGTTTTTAAATCCGTGAGAGTTTAAAAATAATGACAGTGTCCCCACGTGGTTTGAAAAGATATCAAACCGGCAGCTTCTGCGATTGAATGGTATAGACGTTGACAGAGCAGTTGTCCTAAAGCCAGTCAGGTGTACATGACTTGTTAACAGCATAAAGCCTAAATAAGGACACACAAACAAAACATGTCACCATTGATTCACTGAATAAAAATGCAAAATAAAGCTGTTAAATCGAGACATAAACTGATTGAAATCTACTCGCAGATTTATCAAGACATTTTTTTTTTTTGCATGATGAAGACTTCTTCAACAAGATGCAAATCCACTCACTCCTAAACACGTCCGGTAAATAAGACAAGCGATTTAACCAACTCCATCACCGCTGACGGCCAAGGGGAACGAGTCTTACCTCGAGTCCGGGTACTTGGTGAGGGTCGCCAGGCTGCTGGTGTACATGTGTCCCCCGACGTCGATGTGCACCGGGGCGTTCGACTTGGTCAGCTGAGCCGGCAGGGGGATCCCCTGGCAGGCCAGAGGAGAGACCGGGGACCGGGTCAGAGACAGCCGTGACATGCTTCTTCCCTCCTGAAAGCAAGTGTAGAGAAAAGCCATGGGATACGTCGTAAGGGTGGTGGGGTGGGGTGGGGGGGGGGCAGAGCCAGATCAACAAACGGCAGCAGCAGCGGCGGCGGCACAGTGATACCCTTACACCGGGGGAACTAGATCGGATCCTCTCGGAGCGGCATCAGATCACTTCCACGTCTGTCTGGTCGCATATTTAGCCGGGAAATTATTGCCACCGCTCTAATTAACTATGTTTGCATCTTTTTCATGCAGCACCGGAGGCGAGGATGGGAGGATGCTTATTAGAGAACCGGGGGAGGGAGAGAGGGAGAGAGAGAGATAGATGGACAGATAGAGAGGCAGAGAGAGAGAGAGAGAGAGCGAGAGAGCGAGAGGGAGGAATGCTAGGTGTCAGCCTCCAGGGGAATAAAACAAACTGCTGCTGCAATATTCTAATTAAAGGTCGCCTTATGTGTGAGACGTGATGCGCCCAGACGCACCAACCTCCAATCTGAGAGCGAGGAAAAGACGGAGGGGGGGGGGGGGTGTTAGAGGGGGGTATTCTCTCCACGCGCGCACACACATCCAAAACTAATGATTAAGGTGATGCTTGTCATGTAACTACAGATAGTGATAACTTTACAACTGCACGTGCGCACAAACGGAAGCGTCGCCCTGCTGCCCCACACACACTCGTTAACAGGCCGAACCGTGAAGTATCCGGGTCCACATGCGTGGTGACAGAGTGTCAGGAGGATGTGGAAACAATCACAACGAAAAGCTCACTAACTCAATAAGATTCGGTCAGCAGCTCTGAGTTCGATTGGCCGCTGCAATGTTCCGTTAAATAGTTCGAATTCGCTGACATGCGGCCATCGTCTGTAGTTTATCTCACTACAGGTAAACCACCTGACCTCAGGCTGTAAAGTCTGTTATAAAGTCATGGAGTAAATCACTGTTTTTACGTCGCCCTCGTGATCGCCGGCTAAAGGTCACATTTCGTCGTTCCTCCTCTGTTACCCTCCGGGTTTTTGGGTCGAGACGCAGACCTCTGCTTTAACTTTAAACATACTGATACTCGGGGCTCCCACAGTACACGTGTGGGTTCGAAACACACCGAGATCACATCGTTTCGCCCCGACACAGTAGGCTACATCAACGTGATTGATCCTCCAGTTGTTGTTTTTTACTGCCATGCCTGGTGGAGCGAAGGCCGCCGAGGCCCCTTTGGCTCGCCGTTGGGCACAAAAATGAGACCGGAGCTTTTTTTTTCTCAGGGTGTAGCCCGGATTACAGCAGTATCATGTTCGTTTAATACGATTACAGGAGGACGGGATTACATTTCAAAATCCCAGGAGAAGGAAAGGAGAGAAAAAACAAAAACCTGGAAAAGACTTAAGAAGTTTAGGTTTAGGCTGTCCCACTACCGGTCTCTCTCTCTCTCTCTCTCTCTCTCTCTCTCTCTCTTACTCTCCACCAACCAATCAATTAACCAATGAAATTACGATGTAGGCTACGTGAACGTGGAACAAACGGAAAGAAATAGACCCATAGATAAAGCTCCTCACTCTCGCAAAATCAATCATTTAATTCCGTTTCTCTTAATCTCTTAATGTGTATGGGGGATACACACACCATATATGATACGTTCCTCCACAAAAAAAATAAATCACAGCAGCTGTAAGGGCTATTCGAATATCTACGGGACGGACACGTCGGAATAATGGAACAATCCGATACAATATAGCCCACTCCACGCGAAAAGCCTGCGAGCTGCCCTTTAATGCTCAACATGGCGTCTTATCCCCCCCGCTGTACAAATTAAAACCATATAATCCCGACACGTGTAATCCATCACCCGCTTGAAAAAATAAAAATAACAATAAAAAAACCCACTCGTGTCAAAGTGTCCAGTCTGTAAAAGAGGGAGAAGGTGTCCACGCTGCTCTTTAGCGCCAGTTCGACTCTCTACTCTTCGCAAACTGCACTGTGCGTACAAAAATACACACAAGAAAAAAAATACAGCATTGGATTCTGAAATATGTTTTCGAAATGTTCTCACCCTACCGTTTCAAACATCGTAGGGAGTCCAGAGGATATCCGTGCCGGCGGGATCGGTCCCTGCAGCTGCTGTCCGCGTACAAACAAGATGTTTCAGATATTTCTTTCTCCAGAGAAACGCGCCCGAGTTTCGTTGGCACAACTACACCGGCGCCATCCGGCTCCGGCACCGACCTATAGATACTGGCCGCACGGGAAGAGCCGAGTCTTCGCTGTGTATCTTCCCCACCCCACCCCCAACCCCCTCCACTCCCAACAACACACAAAAACTGCCCTTTAAAAAGACACTATGGGCTGTGGACGGGACGGACTGGCTCGCAGAGTGTGTCTCTGTGGCTTTAAAAAAAGAAGGGGGGACTCAATGTAGCGCGGCTGGTCTCCGACCTGTCCTTTCGCCGAGCTCCTTTTTTTGTACCAAAGCGCGCAGTGAAACGTCCTTACCTTGTACATGGATGAGACGATCTCCTTCCTCTGCGCTGCTCTTATTTGGATAAGCGTGAGATAGGAGAGAGGACAAAAAAGAAAAGAAAAGAAGAAGATGTGCGCTCTTGTTTGGAATCCTTCTTCGTATTTCGGCTTCTTCTCTTGCTTTTTCTCTTTCTTTTTTCTTTTTTTTTTTGCCTAAACGAAACTGCCCCTGTGGTTTGTTATGAGAAGAAGAAAGCCAATAATCCGTCTCTAAATAACAGAGCGGAGCTCGAAAAGAGAAAAATCCTGCTCCGGGCTGCGCGACCGCCTCTGGGCCATGGGATTAGGCTACAATTAGCTCAACTCCACTCTCTCTCTCGCCCAGGCAATTTTCTTAAGGAAGAAAAAAAAACGTGATACATCCACACATTCCCCCCCCCCCCCCCCCCTCCCGCCCCCCCCCCCCCCCCAACACCACCACCACCCCTATTCCAGACAATTATGACTGCACAGATATAATAACTTATCTATTTCTTCTTCTTCTTCTTCCCCGGCTAAAGTAGAACCATTCCCCTTAATGGTGTGAAGTTGTGATTTTTTTTGAGGAGTAGGAGGAGGGAGTGGGGGGGTCGGAAACCGGCAAACTGTCGCTCAATGGGTTTAGAGCGGCCAAAAGCAGATTTTAATCATTGTCATTCCGTCTGATGTAACAGTTCCCCAGGCGGTTCCAGCTAGTGGGCCCACGTCCCCGTCTCCATCCCGAATGTAAAGTTTAACGCCAGGCGGGGCTGCCGCGTATAGTCCCGCACTCCGTACAATAAAGGCGCGGTGCAACTTGTTGATAAAGTCCCAGTACAAAAAACATATATATATATATATATATATATGGGGAAAATGAAGAGATATCCTCGAACCAATTTTTTTTTTCATGCAGTGATCTTTTCTTTCTCCCCCTCTCTCCCTCTGTCTCTGACTCTGTCTCCCCCTCTCTCGCCTCAATGTCTGGAGTGGTAACGCCAAATTTCCTGCAGGCCATTAAAAATCAAATGACGTCTGCGGACATGCATGCGCGCCGCTGCGGAGAGAGCAGCCCTCACAACCCGCCTGCAGCCAAATGCGCCATTTCAATTATAGCGCGGGGGCTTAGATGGAGATATCTACCCCCCCCCCCCCCCCCCCTTCACTCTTCACTCTGCAATGAAAGCAGGCAGCCTGCAGACTTTTCTTTTTTTTTGTGTTTTTTTTGGGGGGGGGGGAGGGGGAATACGATTTTACATGATTATTGCTATTTTCCAAAGATACTAAAAGTGCTGCGCGTGCGCCAAATCTTGGCACCGAGCGAATTCAGAGGGGGTGGGGGGAGTCAAGCAGGTGCTCACGCCAAAGACACAATTATTTATTTATTTGCATGTTTGTTTATTTGCGGGTAAATAACTGTGAATAATTGATGCAACATTGAGGCCCGGTAATTACTCTGTACCGGCATCCTGACGGAGCTGCAGCGCTCGTGTTTCTTGATATTTGGCGCCAACCAGTGTAGGAAGTTGTTATTGGTTCACAGGAAACACAATAGTCACTTTTTTTTTTTTTTTGGAGAACTCTTCTTTATTGTTTATCATCCAGATGAAAAGAAAAGAAAAACATGATTTGTTCTTGCCCTATTTTCGGTCTGCTATCTAAACCTCCCATCAGATCTCTGTTGACTCTTACAGGACTGTTAGCTCAACATGACAAGTATCTAAACAGGAAATAAACCAGTCATGCTGGTGATGTGACAGCAGGACTACTGGGAGTAGGTGCTGCCTCTTCTCTCCTTCCTCACAGCGGGCCAAGTCTTCGTAATTAGACAGACCTCAGAGCGATCCCCCCCCCCTCCCTCTGGCACAGATTTGTTGTTTCCAGAGGTACAAACCGGAGGGGGATTTTTATTTTTTGCCTCTCATTAAAGGAAACAAGCCCGGAGTTAGTTCAATTACATGAAGTATGCAGGGATGTTGTAAATTTAAAGATTTAAATAGCTTACAAAGTGGCCCCGGGGCCCCCATCGGTTAATTTCCTTAATTTATGGATTTTAGCGGAGTGTCTATGTCGAAAGGGGAAGAAGTAGGTCATCTTGAAGGATTTGCATGAGGCTCTGAGGTTTCATTGC